AATATCTAAAGGACAGTGAGTAGAAATTTAGTTGTTTTTTTTTTTTTTCAAGTTTTGTTCACTATAAAAATATACCTACAAAAAATACAAAAATATAAAGTTTAGGTCACCTAGAATCATAGAGATATTTGGGCAGTAAGTTTCCACTATAACATTTCTTGATATTCATTCTCTCCCTTTCCCATTTTTCTAGTTTCCTTGAGACCTTTCTCAATGGCCAGTCTTCATTCTCCACTACATTACTCCGTCTGCCTCAGCTGCTTTTCATTACTGCTGCTTTTTATGTTTATTTCTAGTTTGTCTTTAAGTTCCGTGGTTCTACTGTATGTATTCATCCAATCTCTCGGTCTATCTCTTGCCTAATTAAATGGCCAGAACTTGAACTCCAATCTGAAGAAAGTCTGCTACATCTTCACTAGTGTCCAGGTCCTTTCCTCCCCTTCCTAACTCCCCCTGTGACTTGTTGTTCTGCACTTCATTATGTAAAATCCATTATTCTAGGGCTGTCTTTAATGTTGACTGCACTATTTTGTGCAACAGAGGCTTTGTAGCACAGAGCAGTATAAAATTTAAAGTTATATCACTTTGTATCATTGTTCTTAAAAGTTACTCGGACATCTTCTACCAAGAGTGTTTCCTTTTTGCCGTAGACCTTGTTTTATGAAAAGTGATTTAAGCTAAATATCTGCAAAATTGAAATGGTGCTTAGTTGCTTATTATAAAAAGATTATATTATAAAAAGGAATTAGAAAACACCTGGTTTTCCGTGAATGAAACTTTACTTAAAAGTGTTTTTTCCTGGTTACTTTTTTTTTGAGATGAGACTCACTGCATTGTCCTGACTGTTTTTTTGGGGGGTTGTTGTTGTTGGTTGGGGGGGTTAAAAGTGCTTTTTAAGGAATCATTCTATTAGTAAAGATTGAAGAAGAGATATTTAGTTTTCACAATACTCATATTTAGATAATGTAGCCCAGCTGCCGCCTTTTCTTATTAAAATTATATTTTGATAAAACTTGGATATATATAGTGGAGTATCACTCAGCCATAATATATACAGTGGAGTATTACTCAGCCATAATCAGTCAGCCATGAATGAGTGACATTTGGCAGTAAATAGATGGAGTTGGAGACTATCATGCTAAGTGAAATAAGCCAGTCCCAAAAAAGTCAAAGGTTGAATGTTTTCTCTGATATGTGAACGCTAATCCAAAGTGGAGGGGCTAAAAAAATAGAAGATCATTGGAGTAGACAAGTGGGAATGAAGGGAAGGGAGGAGGCATGGGATAGGGAATGACAGTGGAATAAATCTGACCTAACTTTCCTATGTACACATATGAATATACCACAGTGAATTTCGCCATCATATACATCCGTAAGACACTAATTAAAAAAACAAAACTGTAAGTAAATAGCAGAAAATCAGTAAAGTAGAGGGAAGGGAACAAGAAGAGGGAGGAAGGGAGGGAAAGGGAAAGTACTGGGGACAGAATTAGAAGAAATTATATTTGATGCTTTTATAATTATGTCAAAACAAATTCTATTGTCCTATATAACTGAAAGGAATCATAAAAATTAAAATTAAAATGCTTATTTTGTATATTTTTCTCCTATAATTAAGTTGATTTGATAATTTTGTGATATGTGGAATGACTGATCTGCCTCATGTGTGTACTAGTTACTGTGTGACATTTTTGATTTTAAATTCTACTTTAAAATATTAAACCTTTAAGTAACTTTGTATGATTCACAGATATTTTTGTTATGTGCTATTAATATTTGAATTTTAAAAATTTCTCTTTATTTTTTAAATAAATGCAGTATAGACACATAATATATATTTAAAGAACAGAAGCATGAAGTTGTTATACATTACATAGTGAAGTGTGGTATTTCTGGGTTATTCAGTTTTAGAGTACGTAAACATAAGTTCAAGTATATGTGAAATGAAATCTTTCTTGTTTCACTCATTTATTTTTTATTAAAGTTTATTTTTGAAAATTTTTTTTCTATTTTTCATTGCAGTGTGTTAATATTGTTAGCTTATACAAAAAAAGATTATTTCTTGCCTAAATTAGTGATTACATTAATCATTTGATAAGACTGAGACTCTTACTATAGTTTCACTACTCACTAGTGAAGTAGTGGACCTTGAATTAAGTGACTTCTAAAGTTGTTTTCTCATCTATAAAACGAAGATATTGAGCCTCATTTTTTCTTAAATTTTATAACTTTTATAACTCAAGAGACTCCAAAATAAACAATACACAGTTGTGAAAAGGAAACCAAAGTGTGTAATCTCACCATTCATCTGATGCTTGAATTGTCTTCCTGGCGTCCCTACTAAGCCAGAGGGGACAAACTTATGTTGGAGGCAGAGGTGTCAAGTCCCTTTCCATTGGAGGCAGTTTTGTTCAAAAATGTGTTTCTTTTTCCAAGTAAGCTAATAGTTTCCCTTAAAAATTTCAACCCTTGGAGTCACACATAACAAGGATAATCGAACTTTTAGTACTAGAAGACAACTATATTGTCTTCTGGTTTTTCTTTCTTTCATTTTTTTTAAAATTAAGCATCTTATTTTATCTTATAACAAGGTTTTGATTTATATTGGTTTTGTATTGGTTTGGACTTATGAAATAAACAATGTTAATGAAATAAGAGGTAAAATGAATTTGTAAATAAAATTGGATACAAATTTTGGAGTTGATGATGATTTTGGTTATCTAGGGGATAATGTATAAAAATCTGTATTTTTTTAACAATTGTAATTAAACAACCGAGAAATGTTATTTTTGGACTGACATTATAAAAATGTTAATATTAGATTGTCACTAGGTTTCAGACTCTCCAAATATATTATTTCATTTCATTCTTGTCAACAGTCTAATTAGGTATGCATATCTCCATTTTAGATATAAGGTAACCGAGGTATAGAGATACTAAGCAATAGAAATTATTCCAATTATATATTAAAATCACATTACACAAGTTGTTATATATTAAAATGCAATTTCTTTCCTGTCACAAAAATACTACGATATTGTTTGACAAAGCTACTGGCCTTCACATTAGTTGTCAAGATTTATTGAGGGCTTCTTATATTCCAGTCATTATATCAGTGCATTTCATTTTTTATCTCATTTAATCGTCACAACAACCCTGTAATGTTGCATATTAAAAAAAAAACTTGTAAGAGATAGATACTGATTTAATTTATATTTTATGGGTAAGGAAAAGAAAAAGATTTTCACAACTAGAATGTGATAGAACTGCAGATAAAATCTAGGCTATCTTGATGGTAGAGCTCATACAGTGATTAGGTATGCTTCCTCATTACTACGCTACTATGACACATTTGACTTTCTTGGGGCAAAAGTAGTAGATAGCTGGAATTTTCCTCTTGGCCTGCAATTCCAGCTATGCAGGTGAAGAATTCATTGATAGTTACTGGTGTGTGCATTACTGAAGTGCTTTGGAAGTATTTGTCTTTTTTTCTATCGTATTTTTTAAAGTTAGCTTATTATTAGGTGCATTTGAAATAAATACAAAGCTAACTTCATTTTTTATTTAAAATATTGCACCATCTTTTGTCCTCAGAAAATAGGAGCCAAGACAAATCACACCACTTATCTTGACATTAAGAAAGATTTGGAATATTAATTGAAATTTAAGATGGAATAGCATTAGCAATAGCTCTTTAGTTTTCTCAAACTTCAACTTGGATTTAACTGAGGTTTAAAGTAGATTTCCACAATATCTAATGTCTCTATATTAAACTTTAAATGAAAGTCAAATATAAATAAAATTTTTCAGTTGTCTGCTCCTCTCCATTATTTGTGCATGTAATTAAGAGTTAATTGCACTTCTGTTATTAATGATATGGTTGCTTCCTCTTGCATTATGCTTTTCCAGTGGTGCTTAGCCTTCAGAAAATCACTTGTCAAAATATCAGATTAAGAATGTGCTCAAAGCTTTTTGCTTAGAGACTGAAGCAATGAGTAAAGTTAGCATGTATCACTTTACATGCTAACAGTTCTTTCTGCTATTTCTCATACGTTGATAAATACAGCATTTCTTTGAAAACTGTGTTTCACATTATATTCTTTTTTCTTATACAGTTTTGTTTTCGCTTTCTTTGGAGGTTATTCTGTTTAGAGTGGTAGCTCTCCTCAGTAGTGCTTTATTTGTCTGTGTGCCACTTTTCACTTTCTTTTTCTCAGCAGAACTTAGAAGCATTAAACACATCTTTCTAATAGTTAAATATAAAAAAGGAACCTTTTCCTATGATTTACTACTTGGCAATTTCACCTCATCTACACAGATCTAAATATATGAAAGAAATGACAAATTCTTATATTTACCACAGTCAAAAAATGTTAATTCTGATCACTAAGTTCTTATAATTTCTCCCCTGAATATAAAAACACAAAGGTAGTAAATAATGGTAGCCCAATATTTCTAATAAAGTCTTAGAAAAGAAGGCAGTGTAGACACAGGGGATAAAAATCACTTTGAAAATTTCCTCCCTAAGACTACTTGAGTATAACTAGGCCAGTAACATACTGATTAGGTTTATTTGTTTTCAGCACAATTGCATGCTTTCTCAGGCATTGTTAAAATTGCTGTATTTGGTGAAAATAATAGCAAACTGATATTTGTCAAAAAAACTTATTGATCAAATATATGTTTCTTTTTATAAATACAAGTACTTCATCTTTTTCCACTTTTTAAATTTTAGTAAAATAGGTTTATTTTGAAAATAAAAAATAATAATAATACAAGAGGAGGCAACTCATTGTTTCCAAAGATAAAAAAGTTCAGTTATAACCAATGAGAACTTACACAAGATCATGGCATTTAGGTTTAGGTTATCTATATCTTTGGATCAGATCATATGTTATTTGAATCTACTGTGGTGTTATTAGTATGTTTCTTAAGACGTAGTACAGAGCTGCTATGATCTTTAAATGTTAATGTTCTTTTCTTATCACTTTACTGTGTAGATACCCTTCATGAGACCCAACTCTGCCACAGCTCATCCTCGGAGGCAATCCTGGAAACCTCTTTTATAAGTGTGATTTTAAAAATGTGGATAAAACTCTCAATAGAGTACATAAAATAAAGGAGAACAGCTATCTTGTCCTTTCCATAAGCTTATCACTGCAAAAAGTTGCCTTTGCTTGTCAGGTTTGAATAGAATGTAATTGATTGGTTTGTTACTTGGACTGACAAGGCAGTTAATTTGCCTGTGTGGATTTTTTTTCTTTTCTCTCTCTCTCTCTCTCTCTCTCTCTCTCTCTCTCTCTCTCTCTCTCTCTTTCTCTTTTTTTGCACTAATCAGAAATATTCGATATGTGCATTGTTGAAAAATATTGGATAAATGTCTTGTCAGAATTGTCCTATTAAGTAAATGTCTTTCCCTCTTGCTTCTTTGGCAAATGATGATACACAGTGTTTGGACTCACTGAAGAGTTACAGAAGCCTGTGGGACTTAAATGCAATATGTTCTCCCTGTTGTTGAACAATACCAATAACAAGCAAGAAAGACAATGCTTTCTATTAGTCTGCTAATCTGCTTCATCCAATCTAATACTTACATTCATATGCAAAATACTGTTGCACTGGGGAACAACTATAGACTCTTATATTAAACATTATTTCTATTTATAATATTCAGCAAAAGTGAAAGACTTGTGAAGCATATGACATTCTATTTTTGACTCATTGGTCCTAATGTGAAAGTACTAATATTATTAGCATGAATTTTTACAACTTTAGATTTTAAGCTCATGAACAAAAATATGTCTGTGGGTCTGTAGGTAATTTTTTTAAATACCCAAATTTATTTGGTCCTTATTGTTTAATATGAACTTTCTGTGTTCAGGATAACTTAATATTTTTCAACCTTTAAAATGACATTATGAAATAAGGAGGGAAATACAAAGCTTGTTGACTGTACAACCTGCCAGCTGAAAGATCTTCAACAACTGTATCTTTCCAGAGGTTTACATATTTAAAATTTGATCTTCAACTTTTAATGATCCAGTTTTAAGCCAACGACAGAAATATGTTGAATATTCCACCACTCAATCTTGAACTGAATTAGAAGAGACTTTTGCTGAAATCGAAGTGCACATATACACATAAATTGTCAACATATCTCTTGGAATTTCCTGATATATAAGTGTGATTTTGGACTTCTTTTCTGGTATAGTGGCAAAGGAAAATAGTTTAAATTTTAGGAGTAGAATAGGCAGTGTTATAGATATTCCAATCCAAGTGTAAGTATAAAGTTGCTATATGCTAGTAATTTATAGTTATAGGAATCATGATTGGATAAAATGTTAAATAAAAATAAAATGTGTATGAAATTACATATAAACAGATTATATTGAAAGACCTCATAACATTGAAGGAAATGTTAATAATCTTTTGGAAAACGCATAGGCTTTTTTTTTTCTTTTAAGAATAAGAAAAGACTATCACTTAATACTTAAGTTTAAGAAAAAGTTGGTAATTATTACTATTGCTGACTTCCATCTGATTTTAAGAAACAGGAAAGATTACCATGTTCTAAATGAACTATGCTAATATATTTGGCCCTTGCTGTCTTTTAAAATATGGTAAGATAATACTAATGATTATTTTGTTTATTTATTTGCTTATTTTCTGAGAAATCATTACTTGTTGTGGTTTTGGTGTCACTGTTAATCAAAATTCCTTTCACTTTAGTTTTAATTAAAATACTCTGAAATTGTCATTCTTCATCTTTCAATTTTCAATAATGGATATTATTTTCTATGTTTGATGCTAACCCTAAGAACTTCATCATGTTACAAATATAAGCTACATAATACATAATATGAGAGGTTGTATAAAAGTGTAGAAGAACTTTGGAAGGTAGTGGAAAAAATATTTTCTCATAATAATCTCTTAAACATTCATATATTTGTAGTACAAAATTAACCCCTCTCTGTAAATGGTCCAATTGCAGTTCAAAGGAAGAATTTAATGTGTATTGAGGATTAATGGTTACTCTTTCACTAATATATGTTAGAGAAAGTGAGAAATCAGGTAAATGACCATTATTTGCCACAGAATAGCAAAAGAAAGAAGCACTGAAATATTGGGAAGACAATAAATGTTCTGAAACACAAGAATGCTTAGTAATTAATACTAGTGCTTCTCAGACTTTGTTATCATGCATCAGTATCAAGAAGGATTTGTTGGAACTCAGTTGGTTCCTTTTTTCTCCTCTTGGCCTTCTCTCTCCACCTACTCTTTTCTCTGTCTCCCTGGAGTTTCTAAGTAGATTTGGTATTAGGCCTGAAAACTCAAATTTGTAACAAGTTCCCAGGTGATGGTGATTTTAACTTGTCAGGGACACCACTTTGAGAACCAGTCATACATTTTTAAAAAGTCATTATATTGTGCTCAACATTGATTAATTATGGCTTTAAATGTTTATTATACACTGGAAACAGCACTGTTTTATACACAAGGAATGAAGGAGCTTTTTTTTCACAATTACTAATTCTTTTCATTTTAAAAAAATTTGAAATTAGGATCAGGTTTAAACACAAAAACAAAATTTAGCCTTCCAAGTTTAGAAATCATATTTATTCTTCATTTATTATTATTGTCATTTGTATGTTTATTGAATTTTATACTTATGATATTATGATTGCTGAACAGTAGATAATATTTACTTTCATTATTCCATATCCCTGTTTATATCCTATTACTTAAAAAACCCATTCTTTAAATATTTAAAGTTCTTCTTTGATGAAATTCACCAGTGTTTTTTACTTAATTCACAACATGAGACTATTTCATGAGTGTTTCACCAAAATCTATTCAAGAAATTCAGAAGGCCTTTGTAGCAGAGTGTTTATATTCTTCAAAAGATTTTTAAATTTTGTGAAATTGTTTTTGACAATTGAAACTTGAGACAACTTAGAATTACATGTTTTATGGAGGCAGAATTTTTTTCCTACCCACCTGAATCAGCACTTTGTAAATTTATACCATTAAGGATTGTGATCGGAGATGGGTATGCTGTACAAATACTTCCTTCTAAAACTGTAGGCCTCTTTCTCTTAGTGCTCACTTTAAGGTGTTTCTGTTAGGCCTGCCAATAAGATTCACTGCTGTTCAGGTACATAAGATTTAATGAAATTGGATGCTCAGGCTGGGCTTTGTAAATAAAATGAGATTGTCCCCTAGCCATTATCTCATTTATCTGATTTACATTATAAAACTAGGATCTACACTATTGATTAGAGCATAATTAGTTAATTATAAATAGGGAAATACAAAGTTATGTGGAGCTTTTACACAGCAGGTTGTACTGCTAAAAATTTTCCAAGGGCATGAGCAGATGGAGATCAGTTTATTAAAGAACAAAGCAGACATTTCAGGTATGGAAATGTGTAATCATTCTCTCATGCTATGAAAAGATACTTGACCTTATTGCATATTTTTATATCAATTGTTGTGTTTCATGTTTTTTTTTTTTCATTTCATTTTTAATCTTGTAACCTGGCTGGTACACATTTCAATAACTGAATTGATACCATTATTTAGCTATAAAATAAGGATTTTGATTTGGATAATTTTCCAAATACTATTTCAATGAATTAACTTTTATGTGTCAAGAATATTTTCTTTTTATTTCTTACTACCCATTCATCCATTATTGTCTATGATAGAAGTCTCTAGTGGCATTAATGAAATAGGTTTAATTCTTACACATTAGTTTGTTATTTGTGAAACATTACTAAAAAGACAGTTTCCAATTATTTTATATAATTATAAAATTAGGTGATTTGCACTAAAATAGTAAGTTATAAGGAATAAAATATTGTATTTATTGATATTAAATGTTATTCTGATATTGTTATTCTATACTGGAGAATTTTGTTCCAAGTCTATATTGTTTTAAAAGTGATTTAATGGGCCACAATACATTTGTTCTGCATTTATTAAGATGTGTAGTAGAGATAATTGGTCACTGTTCAATGAAGAAATCCATCACTACTGGTTAATAGATTTGTGTGTGTGAGCTGCTAAAGAGGTTTTTATTTAAGTAATGCTAATATCTAAGACAAATGTTTAAAATTTTTCTTGTATGAATTTTTACATAAACATAATGAAAAAAATCAGAAAATTCAATTCATCAATTCTCTTTTTTTTTAAGTGAACAGGTGTAATAGTGTCCATTTTCAGCATTGTTTTTTTCTTTAGCTTTATATAGATTAAATAAAATGTTCCATTGATGTGAAAAAATAGCTATGATTATCAAGATGAGCTTGATCATAAGAAATGCGCATCTCTTTTTTAAGTTTGCACTATAGATTTTGTTTCTTCTTGAAATTTAGCTTATCATGTAGCTATAAATTATTTGCATAGAAGGTACACTTGTTTTAGTTTTTGAAAAGTTATTACTTAGTTTACTTCCCTAATGAACTTACCAAATGGAAGTAAAGGGAATTAAACCCTTTCAAAGACTGGCCGAAAGCCTATATCAAGGAAAGAAGTAAATCACTTCTTTCTTTTCACTTTTTGTGTATTTGTCAGTAGTCAGTAAGTATCTGATTAATACATAGCACATATGAAGATAAATCACTTTCTTCCTCTTCCTTGTCTAGGGTGCTATCTTATTCATATGCTAAGTAAGTATTTTAAATACATGTAAAACAGTGTTTATTTGGTCACTGCTTTTTGTTGAATCAGTGTGTAACAGATCATATGAAGCTGCTGTATTATTTATGTCTAAAGCCAATATGAATCTAATATTAGGAAGTTGTCTTTAGTAAAAATCAAATTAAAAATCCAGTTTTATTTTATCTTGTAAGTGGAATTCATTTTACTACATTTAAAATTTTAATTTTAGAATGTCCCATAGTGTTAATGTGCACAGTATGCACTAGAGGCTTTAAAGATTGTTCTTAAAGTGTCCAGTTTGCATTTTATTTAGAAAATCCAGTTTTTCTATAGGTTAGTTTTATATTCTCTTTTAGTATGTTAAGACATTCTCTTCCTATTTCATAATGTGCTATTGGTATATTATAATCATTTTTTATCATATAGACATTGTGTTGTTTAATAAAGTATATTGTGTTCTATAACTATGCTTTTGTGGGTCAATGAATCCTTGCAAACTTTTAAAAAGGCTTTATTTACTGTTTTGATAAATACATGCTATAGTATATGCTACAGTTAATGTGTTTTCAAATATATTTTAGAAGTAGAGACCACAAGTAAAACTGATCAATAACTACTTTAATTCTGTTACAGCTTTTAAGTAGATTATTGCAGATTTGTATGTAAGAATTCTGGTTTTTAAGCTTTTAAACTGACCTAATTTTTGTATATCCAGAATTTGTTAGCTAACAAGATTTGATAAAGATTACAGAGTGGTATATGTTTGTGTGAAGTAAACAATCCACTATTTTGATCATCTGCATTGTTCTTTGATTTCTAGGGTCCTTAATGGTATCTCTTATATTTATATATCTATGGTATATTAATTCTTACAGATTCTGCTAAAGTTCACTTCTGTAATTTAGAAAATTATTGTTCCAGCACTTAAAGCTATGGATTTTATTTTCAATTTAATATTCTAGGGTAGAAACAGCTAAAATTTTTCTGCCTTAAAATAATTTTAGAAATCTCTACAAAGAGCTTATATTACTGTATTTATTTGCTTATCAACAAAGCTGTTGACTTAAGGATTAGTTTATTCGCCCCCTCCTTGGATTGTGGGAGTTATTAAGAATATTAACCACTCTTTTTTACTGTTTAGTCTTGGAGTTGCAGTTTTTACTTATACTACAACTATGGTGAATGAGCTAGAATTTTAGAGTACTTCCCTATCATCCTTAATTCTCTGGAAGCATGAAAATACAATAAGGTTCTACATATCAACCAAGTCATTCTGAAAGGTGTGCTAATAAAGGAATCAGTTGGTGAGGATTAGGTCATTTTTAGATGGAATATACTTCAGATTACCTTCTGACAGAGCTTGCAAATAGAACATTTATTTTTCCCTTTTTTTATTTGTTCTTGAGCTGATTTTATAAGTAATTGAAGCCAACGACATATTGGAGCCATATCAATGTTCTTAATTTTTTAAGTGGAAATTCATAGCTATGCCAACAAAAATCACCTTTGTACATGAAGGAGATAATGAATCCTGTCTGATTCCCTCTTACATTCACCACGTATTTGCCTTGAGTTGTGCACTGGAAATAACTTGTAAATTGATAGTTTTAAAGCAAATATGCAGTAATTAGATTGTAATTTGATGTAAACTAGGGCAGTATTAATACTGTAACTCTCCATCTGACAAGAACTAGGATTCTTATCAGTCTGAACTGTATGGAACATTGCCCAGCAACATGAAATTAAGGAAAAAAAGACTATAGTCAATAACTAAAGTTTAGTGTGTGTGCTTAATTCAGTAGAAGTTGTCACTTTGATATCTTGTTACTGTCATTTTCATAGTCTTAATAGTTTTAGTGGTCTGGTTCCCAAATCAACAAGTTAGTATTGGGAAAAATTATGCTTAGACAAATACAGTGATAATAGGAACCAGGGCCTGTTGGTTTTCAAGCAAGTGAGGACCCTGAAGATCTGGAAAAGTTGAACATAAGAATTAAAACAAGATAGCAGAGTAATGGTATTCACTCCTAGTATAAGAAGCTGACACAGTTAGAAATGCAAAAGCATTTGTTACTTACACTCATGCCCCTAACA